CGATTGGAGTTTGACCTCATACTTATTACATAGGTAGTTAATTTTATAATAATTAATAACATCACTACACCTCCTTTTCCTAGAGAATGACCTGCACTATGGCCACTTGTGAGGGGCATTCTCTTGGTAATCGGAGTCTACAAGCAAATACACAATAATTTACTTACTGTATACAAACAAGATATAAAAATGAAAAAGTACATCACATCTACAATAAATTCTACAATTGTGCACAATTCTAATTATAACTTAATTTCCTATTACCATTGAATAAAAACACTATTTTTATTCAATGCTATTACATAACTCCCATACAGTGCTTACATTTAATTATATTACATACCTATTCTAATTTTTACAATACATGTGTACACGATTTTTGTGACATTCTCTTGTGAATTTAGCTACGTCTTTTGACATGCGTTTCCATACATAAAACGATTTTAGTTTTTTAAGTAACCTTTTCTGACCACAATGACCACCTAACAACGGATGGTCGTGAAATTTCTTTATTAGTTCGAGTTTTTCTTCCTTACTATGAATTAATTTCTTGGGTCTACACATAATAATCGTCAGATTGCTAAATATTTTATTCCCTACGTCTTTAAATTCATTTGCGGTGCACCGAGTAAATATTTTGTCGTCTAAATTTATTCTTAGTTTACTAAACTTACGATCACCAGCATCTTTGTCTAGCTGAGATAATATTTGCTCTAATGCAAAATTATCATTTATGACCGGAAGAGTAATGTAATTTTGAGCGCTCGTTTTATTTTGACGACTTATTATTAATATTTTAACGTAAGTAGGGCAAATTTCAAATTTTAGCAACGGTAAATTTAATACCTCATAGTTGTTTAATATTTCGTATACTTTTGGTTCTGACGTGAATTTTGTCGGCATATGGACATCTAATCGTTTGGGGTTAATGTTTGATGTTTTTGAACTAGACATGGATCGGGTGATAGCTAATATTTGGTCCGCGAATATTGAGATTATTGCTTCTAAAGTCCTCATTTTTCTAAAAAAAGAAAACGCTTGAATTTGATGAACTGCCGGCTTC